GTCAGCAGACGGTGGTTAACAGACCAAACTTTCCAGTAAAAAAATGGCAGTTAGAGGGTTGAGACAAACCATTTTTGCCACTGAAAGGGGTGCTTACAATGATCATATTATATTAATTTATGTAAAACCTTTATCTCAAAAGCAATAAAACTGATGTTGTAACTGATTTTAAAGGCCTAGCTGGAGTGCAGCTGTATTTTGTAAATCCTTGTGTAAATTCCATCTCAATTTACTAGTCCGTCTAATGTTACCCTCTCCAGACAATGCCTCTGTCTAAAGTTGACTCTGCTGCTCCTCCACAGATAAGGGAGCCACCCTAAGGCTCCATGCACACCAGTGTTGTTTTGAGCTCCTAGAAGCTGTTATTAGCATTTTTTTTCCTTTTTTTTAATAGATATTTTATTAAGTTTTACATTTCAACATATTTCATACAGCATGAATAAATCATTATATCATTACATCTCAGTATAAAAATAAAAATTACAATCCCCTATTTAAACTTTCCCCACAAAACCCACCTCTCCGCCATCCCTCCTCCTTACTCCAACCCCCCTACTCCCACCCCCCATCTTTTCCTTTAGCTCCCCATTCCTTGATTTAGCATTTTTCTGCTGCTAGAGGCTACATAGTGTTACACTATGAGTCCATGCACACTACTTTAGGCTATTAGCATTTTTTGAGCTTCAGCTTCCAGCAGAAAAGAATGCTACATGCTCCTAAACTCTACTAAAACTCTACAGCTTTTTTCTAGCTTTTTTTTTTTACATGTACTGTAAAAACGCTAATAAAATGCTAACGCTCCTAAACGCTACTAAAACACGCTATTACCACCGTTTTTTTCAGACAAAAAAAAATCGCTAGTGTGCACAGAGCCTAAGACAGGAGATGTGGCCAGATCATCAGGTGAAAACAAAGGAAAGAAGAAATACAAAAAAAGAAAAAACAATTGCAGGCACCACATTTAAGAATTGGCAAGCTGCAATATATTAACCACTTGCTCTCCGAAGGTTGTATCCCCCCCCCTCATGACCAAAACATTTTTTGCTATTCAGCACTGCTCTACTTTAACTGGCAATTGTGTGCGGTCATGCAATACTGTACCCCAATGAAATTTATAAAATATATATTTATAATTTTTTTCACACAAATAGAGATTTCTTTTGGTGGTATTTGATTGTCACTAGGTTTTTAATAACCTATGTATTATTTAAACAAAAAAAGACAGAAAATTTATAAAAATTATATATTCTTTCTGTTTTAAACCATATTCAATAAAAAAACAAAAAAAAAAATCTAATTTCTTCATAAATTTAGATCAAAATGTATTTTGCTTCATGTCTTTGGTAAAAAAAATCCCAATAAGTGTATATTAATTGGTCTGTGTGAAAGTTATAGTGCCTACAAACGATGAGATATATAGTGGAATTTACACAGCTATGACGCTATACTGATAATGGTGGTGATGAGCGACTTATAGTGGGACTGTGATAGTGTGGCGGGCAATCCAACGCTAGCTTACTCTGGCTTGGAGGGACATTAACTAACTGACACTGACATCAATAATGACACTAATACAGTGATCAATGCTAATACTGTACACTGTCACTGAGCTAATGACACTGGCTGGGAAGGGGTTAACATCCAGGGCCAATCAAAGAGTTTGCAATGTGTAATGTGTGTATGTGCTGCTTTTACCAATAGATCTGGCTGTTTTTTTCTCCTTGCTTTGCAGAGAGAAGAAACAGCCATATCACTGCCCTGTAAATAGAGCCCTGTGTTGTTTGTAAAGACAGGGCTCTGTGCTGTGATTGGACACAGCCAATCAGCGGGTCTCAGCCATAAATCATTGGCTGAAACTTACTGACAAAATCGTCCAACAAAATGCGTCCAACCACATCGCGGGTCAGCAGGGGGGTGTGCCCAGGGGCGGACTGACAACTCATGGGGCCCCTGGGCAATAGGGGATCATGGGGCCCCTGTGTCCTTGCCCAAACTCAAAAAAGCCTATAAAAAAGGTACCAGGGGCATCTCATGGGGCCCCCTACTGACCCCGGACCCTCGGGCAGTGCCTGAGTTTCCAAATGGTCAGTCCGCCCCTGGGAGTGCCCCAGACATGGAAGCATGGTATGTTTATTTATGTTGCTGAGCCTGCAGCTGGCGTTAGTAGTTAGTACATTTGCTGTGACCGAGTGGCAAATGATTAAAGTGGTATTAAATCCAAAAGTAAAAGTATTATTTTGCATTTACAGTACTTAAATGTGTTGGCTGCATTAGTTTTATTTTTTGTAGACTTTTTCTGTCCATTAATTCTGGGTTTTTTTTCAACTTCCTGCAAATATAGCAGTTAGGTTCGTTCATACTTGACTAATTTCTAACGCTTGCCAAACACCCCTATAGCGTTTGACAGGCGTTAGATACGCATTTGGGAAGCGTTTTTAATGCTTTTCAAACACTATGCGCATTTTTGAGGCATATGCCAAGCGTTAAAACCGCACCACAAACGCCTATAAAATGAAGTATAATGGTATTAAAGCTCCACAACCGCACCGCAAACACCTGCCAGGCATTTGAGAAGCATCACCATAGACTTGAATGGGAGGCTTCAACTCCTCCTGACTAGACATGAGGCGCCAATTTTTCCGCAGCGCTAACGCTAAAGTGTGAACAGCACTGTGTGCTGCCATGTGTAGGATTTTCATAGGTGTTTGAGGAGCGTCATAAAAACTTCCGAAATCCCTGTCTAATGTCTGCTAACAAAGCTAGTGTGAACCAGGGGTGGACTGACAACTCATGGGGCCCCCGGGCAATAGGGGATAATGGGGCCCCTGTGTCCTTGCCCAAACTCAAAAAAGCCTATGAAAAAGGTATTAGGGGCATCTCATGGGGCCCCCTACTGATCCCGGGCCCTCGGGCAGTGCCCGAGTTTCCAAATGGTCAGTCCGCCCCTGGTGTGAACATAGCTTTACCTGTCCACGTCATATGACCAATTCCAATCACTGAATTCTCTCTGCTCCAGACCCTGCATGGTTCATACCGTGGCCTACATTTTATGAATGGGCTGTGCAATGCAGGACGCTGTATGGGGTAACCTTGTGTAGTGCAACCCTTAGGAAATTGGAACAAACCATTTACCACTTACAGGGGTGCTTACAATGGTCATTTATTACTTAACAGGTGTGTTAGAACTCATATATGACACTTTCTTTAACCATTTAAGGACCGCCCTATAGCGGATATACTGCTACTGGGCGGCACCTGTGCGCAGGATCACGTATACATATATGTCATTCTGTATTTTTGGGTAGGGGGTGTGTGCGCCCTACCCACGCCGTCATTCGCAGTCTGCGGATGTCAATCACTGGGTCCCGGCCGGTAATCACTGAGCATCTCCGATGGGGAGGAAGATTGTTTTGTTTACAAACAATCTTCCTCCCTGTCAGCTCGAGCACACTGCTCGGGATGGCTGTGCACAGTACAGCCATCCCGATCAGTGTGCTTACAGTGAAGAACACCCCCCCCACCCCCTAGTAAAACACTCCCAGTACACAGTTAACCCTTTGATCACCCTCAGATGTTAACCCCTTCCTGCCCAGTGTCATTAGTACAGTGTCAGTGCTTTTTTTTAGCACTGATCACTATATTGGTGTCACTGGGGTGTCAGTGACACCAAGTTAATTCCCCTCAATGTCAGAATGTCCGCTGCAGTCCCGCTAAATGTCACTGATTGCCGCCATTACTAGTAGAAAAAAAAATTCCATTATCTATACCGCCATTTGTAAACGCTAAAACTTTCACGTAAACCAATTAATTTGCTCGTATTGGATTTTTTTTTTTAGCAAAGACACGGAGCATTTTGGCCTAAATTTATGACAAAATTAGATTTTTTACATTTTTTTACTGGACATGTTTAATAGCAAAAAGTCCAAAACATAGTTTTTTTTCTCAAACTTGTCGGTCTTTTTTTGCTTATAGCGCAAAAAATACAAAACACACAGGTGATCAAATACCACCGAAAGAAAGCTCAACTTGTTGGGAAAAAAGGGCGTAAATGTAACTCCTCAGGAGGGCAAGTGGTAATCAGCTGATGTACTTGCAGTGCCCTAATGAGGAAAGTTGCAGGGTCTGCATCCCTTTGGAAGCGATTATCTATTTGGGAGTACCTCACCAAAAAATTAACTTGTGTTGCAGGGGATGCCTGACTTATAGCTTAGTGCAAATGTCTGGGAAAATCCATGAGCCAGATGAAACAAGCAGGAATGACATTTCTGGGGGTGTTGTTTACACCTCCAGGTTTTCATATTGCATTGAATTTACAGAATATTACAGCGCTGTAGACTAAAAAAAGTAATTTTTAATAATGTTCACTTATAATTTGGCTTGTGTAGCAATTGAGTATGATACACACATTTTTTTATGTGCTATTTTTTCCCATGAAAGTAGAGTTATCCTTTAACATATTTAAAAAAATATAGTACAGATAGTATGTACAAACACTTAAAATATATGTTTACAATAATTGCCCACAATTACTGCTGGCAGGATATCGAAAAATACAGCTTCCCATTGTGTAACCGCAATCTATCACATGAGGAACTCACACAAGAAACAATCTGCTCTCATTGTTCCTGGTAAACGAAACTGTTTCCTTGTTGTAAATGGTAGTCCATCTCGTAAATTGCCACCCAATCAGAAATGACATATATGATGCAATCTATCAATAGCATTAAAGTGTTACTAAACCTGTATTCACTACATCTGGTCTCCCCGGATCCTGCATTCACTATATCCGATCTCCTGGACCCTGCATTCACTATATCCGATCTCCTGGACCCTGTATTCACTACATCTGGTCTCCCCGGATCCTGCATTCACTATATCCGATCTCCTGGACCCTGTATTCACTATATCTGGTCTCCCCGGAGCCTGCATTCACTATATCCGGTCTCATGGACCCTGCATTCACTATATCCGGTCTCCCCGGACCCTGCATTCATTATATCTGGTCTCCCCTGGACCCTGCATTCACTATATCTGGTCTCCCCGGACCCTGCATTCACTATATCTGGTCTCCCCTGGACCCTGCATTCACTATATCCGGTCTCCTCAGACCCTGCATTCACTATATCTGGCCTCCCCGGACCCTGCATTCACTATATCCGGTCTCCCCGGACCCTTCATTCACTATATCCGCTCTCCCTGGACCCTGCATTCACTTTATCCGGTCCCCCCGGACCCTGCATTCACTATATCTGGTCTCCCCGGATCCTGCATTCATTATATCTGGTCTCCCCGGACCCTGCATTCACTGTATTTGGTCTGCCAGGACCCTGCATTCACTATATTTGGTCTCCCAGGACCCTGCATTCACTATATCTGATCTCCCCTGACCCTGCATTCACTATATCTGATCTCCCCTGACCCTGCATTCACTATATTTGGTCTGCCCGGACCCTGCCTTCACTACATCTGGTCTCCCCGGACCCTGCATTCACTATATCTGGTCTCCCAGGACCCTGCATTCACTGTATCTGGTCTCCCAGACCCTGCATTCACTATATCTGGTCTCCCCGGACCCTGTATTCACTATATCTGGTCTCCCCAAACCCTGCATTCACTATATATGGCCCTGTGCTGATCACATGCACTCTCCCAAGAAAAAAAAAAACTCTCTAGCAGTACACACCAAACTGAGCATGTGCAGCTTACCCCAAGGCTCTGTTCTATCAGCAGATGGATTGGGAACAGTGGAAGAAGGGGAGGATCAAAGAAGACAGGATCAAACAGCCTTTTTACACAATGCAGAGGATTAACCCCTTAGGTTCCCCAGTATAAAAAGCATGTTTTACTGCATATGCAGACTGATTTTACGGTTATGGGTTTAGTAACACTTTAACACAACACTTTTTTTGTTTTTCTGAATACGAAATTAAATCTGACAACAAAAAGGTATTATTTTGCAGTTTACAAATTCTTAGATGTGGTGGCTGCATTAGTTTTATTTTTTCTGTCCATCAGTTGTTGTTTTTTCTTTCAATCTCCTGCAAAAATGGCGGTAACAGGATTGAGGAAAACCATTTACCACTGACAGGGGTGCTTACAATGGTTATTTAATGCTTAATAGGTGTGGTAGAATCCATATACAACACCATATCTATACCCTGGAGGCATTATCCCATGTGAGATATGTCAGTCATGGAAAACCCCAAATATAAACTATATTGCCAAAAGTATTGGTCGGCCGGCCTTTACACGCACATGACCTTTAATGGCCCCCCAGTCTTAGTCCGTAGGGTTCAATATTGAGTTGGCACTGTCCTTTACAGCTATAACAGCTTCAACTCTTCTGGGAAGGCCGTCCACAAGGTTTAGGAGGGTGTCTATGGGAAGGTTTGACCGTTCTTCCAGAAGAACATTTGTGAGGTCAGGCACTGATGTCGGGGGAGGAGGCCTGGCTCACAGTCTCCTCTCTAATTCATCCCAAAGGTGTTCTGTGGGGTTGAGGTCAGGACTCTGTTCAGGCCAGTCAAGTTCCTCCACCCCAAACTCGCTCATTCATGTCTTTATAGACCTTGCTTTGTGCACTGGTGCGCAGTCATGTTGGAACAGGAAGGGGCCATCCCCAAACAGTTCCCACAAAGTTGGGAGCATGAAATTGTCCAAAATGTCTTGGTATGCTGACTCCTTAAGAGTTCACTTCACTGGAACTAAGGGGCCAAGCCCAACCCCAAGGTCAAGGGCCAAGGTCTTGATGAAGGAGCTTATCGCGCATGCTCCAAAATGTGTCACCGCCACTTTTGACGCCACTTCCGCCATAAGTGTTGTACTCCGGCGGCGTGTGTTGCACCAGGTATCTCGGAAGAGCGGCGGCCATCCTGGACCTGTGTTCTATGCTTCCCTTGCAACTGCTGACCAGCACAGCATGAGAGAGACCCACAGTGACAGGAACCCCATATAGGCTTCACCATTGGTGAGCTCACTGATCTTGCATATCTTGTAAGTGTTTTTAACTGTTTTCTTAATAAAACACAGTGGAATACTGCACTGTCTTCTCTCGTATTCACGCAGAGCCTTGCTTCACTCTTGAACAGGGGCGGACCAGGGGTGGACTGACCATTTGGAAACTCAGGCACTGCCCGAGGGCCCGGGGTCAGTAGGGGGCCCCATGAGATGACCTTGATACCTTTTTCATAGGCTTTTTTGAGTTTGGGCAATGGCACAGGGGCCCCATGATCCCCTATTGCCCGGGGGCCCCGTGAGTTGTCAGTCCACCCCTGCTCTTGAAAGTGCTGCCGGGTGCATATTCCAGAGTCTTCCACACAGAGGTCACTGTCTCCAGGATTCCACTTGTCTGTCTGAGCAGAGGTGCCCTTTGACTTTTCCTATGGAGAGGGATTACAACAACTTTCAGGGTCATATTGCTGTCTGTGCCCTCATTAAGGAGATTCACCCTTTTTATTATCAGTGAAAGTGGAAAAAATCCCAAATTTTGGATTGCCAGCAGAACAGGAATAGAGGGGAAATCTTCAAATAGGGACACTAGTTCTGGTGACAGCTCGGGGATTCCCACAACTTTGCCTGTTTGGCTATGGGACAGGAAGTAAATTGAAATCCCACCAATGGCAAAAAAAAAAAGCCTGACAGGGGTTATAACCCTTAGGGCCAGTTCACACTATAGAAACGCAGTCCAGAAGCATTCTGGATGCATTTCTGCATGCGCCTTTTTGCTGCGTTCTAGTACATTTTGATGCATTTTTATGCGTTCCAGTTCATTTATTCCCCTCTCTTTCTTCAATTTAAACAGGGACATGTGTGTTCCAGTGCAATTTTTGATGCATTTTACCGCTTTCCAGTACAGTTCTGTGCAGGAAAAATGCAGCCTGTTCTATGTTTTTTTTTTCTGCACCCGGAACGCACTGGAACAGCAAGCACTGATGTGAACTATGACATGGACAACCATATAACCTACTTTTTGTGCATTTTGGATGCAGAAAAAAAGCAGTGTGAACTGGCCCTTACTCTATCCAACATAAAAAAAAAAGTTTTACCTTTAGTTCTACTTTAACAAGGACTGTAACTGTGGGTGGAACCTCTTTCCTCTTTGTGCGGTTCAATTGATTTCACCTAGAGAAGAGGAACAATCCGTCAGCTGATGATAGGTTTCTTTTCCAAACATCATGAGCTAAAACGAGAATTTTCCTGTCTTTGTCAGCAGGTTTCTTGACAAAGTTTGGAGGAAACTTTAACCTTTTTGAATGTTTTTTTGCTCTTTTTCACTAATGTTTAACCTGTATTGGGGATATAGATGATAGATGATGTTACCTTTGAAACTTCCCGATGGAAAAACCCAAATGACTTGCTGGATGTTACAGGTGGATTAAAAGATGATTTTTTAAAACTAGTGAACTTTGATTTCACATTAACTTCAACCACATTGGCAGCAGTCTGTCTCTCATTGTGTTGAAGCCTTTCACTAATGCTAAACCCTAATAGGACATCAGTTCTTACATACCCCGATGATATGTCCTTCAACCACTTGACCCCCCCAGGCCAATTCTGACATTTCTCACATACATGTAAAAATCAGTACGTTTTTGTTATAAAACTACTTAGAACCCCTAAGTATTATATATATTTTTTTTTAAAACAGAGACCCTGGAGAATAAAATGGTGGGTGTTGCACTTTTTTTTGGCACGATATTTGTGCAGCGGTTTTTCAAAAACAAATTTTCTGGAAAAAATACACTTTCATGAATTTTAGTGAATACAAAACACAATATAATACCCAATTTTTTTGATAAAATAAATAAAAGAGGATATACCAAGTAATTAGATACCAAACATGTCTGACTTTAAAATTACACAAGCACATGAAATGGTGACAAATGGCTATACATTAACTTATCCATAGGCGAAAATTGAAAAGCCTTTACAGGTTATCAGTTTAGAGGTCTGGCACTAGAATTATTGCTCTTTTGCTCTGCAGTTCATGGGGATACCTCACATGTGTAGTGCAATCGCTGTTTACATATGAGTGCGGGACTGGGTCAGGAGCACGTTACATTTTTTGGTTTTAGCTTATTTAATTTTTTTACACTGTCCCTTTTTATAATCAACTTTATTGCTAGCACAAAGGATGGGAAACATTCCTTGTGATCGCATGGTCCATGACAGGTCCTCTTTATGGAGAGATCTGGAGTCTATTAGACCCCTGATTTTTCTTCTGGCCGCCAAAGTAGCCAATCAACTTGAGATCAGTTTGATCAGGTAATGTACAAGCCAGTAACAGATAAACAAACAGATAAACAAACTGAAACCAGAAGTGACAAAATCCTTGTCTCTTCCAGGTCCTGACATTAAAGGGTGGGAGAAACAACATCAGTTCTTTTCTCTTTGTGTACAGATTCTGATGCATCTGGTCACATTGGTCTTGGGCTCCCTGGTGGGATGGGAGAGCCCAGGAAAGGTAGCGGCTAGTAAGGGGGGGAGAGTTAACCCTCTTCCTCTGGATGTAAAAGTCGCTTGGATCACTTTTACATTGTCCAGAATCACCGGCTGAACAAAATTGTACCAGGATCACGGCTGTAGCCAGAGCTGTGAAGGTGAGTGTCTTTCTCTCTCTCGCGGGGAGGGGACAGGGGGTTGTTGGTCAATGTCAGGCTCTCTCCACGGGGACGGGGGTGGTGTTGGTTGCTGTCAGACCCCCTCCTAATGAGGGGGGGATGAATTTTTTGTTGCCTAGGGCAGCACAAAACCTAAATACACTACCAGTGTAGAGTTAGTAGAAAGAAGAAGAATTTAAATTTGACCAACATGGGACATGGTGAAGCTCTCCTGGAAGCCATGTAGCCTTCAAAATAAATGGTGTTCCCCAGCTGGGGAATGCCTGGGGGTCCTTATTGCCTTAGTTGGGCTAGCACTTGGGACAAAACCAAGGTTGCCTATTATGGAGAAAATGGTGACAGCTTGAGTTTGTCAAGAATTTGAATGCCGTTAAAGCAAGTAAATTGTTGGAAAACAAATTGGACTTGCCTCTTATTTTTATGGATGGTCTATTCTTAAACTACTTCCTGGCTCAGCTGGGAAGGGTGATGTGTCATGTCAAGGCGCTTGTGCATGCTATGGAGGACTGATTACTTTATGCTCAAGAAAACAGGGCTTACACAAACAAGAATACAGGCAGGAGTCCTGTTGAAGGTACCAGATGCAGTCTATTTGCAATGTTTTCTGCCCCTCATACTTGCAGGATCAAGGGAGTGTCTATGACGGGAGTCACTTTGGGTGGGGGGGCTCATGGAACCCAGCTTATTTTTCAGAGGTTGGGAGACCCCTGTCTCATCTCCCCATACCTTCTTATGTGCAAGTCACCCTGTGTCTCTTAGGGACACAGGGTGACTAATGGACGCTGAGAATGCGGTTGGAATTACTTTAGATTGCACAATAATATTTATCAGCCATATGAAGATTATTCCTGGTTGTTGATTCTGAACTAGACATGTGAATTGAAAGAGCTGATCACGCTGGCCTCTCCTCTACTCAAGTGTAGGAGCAGGACCTTCTGTTCTGTAGTGAGATCCTAATTCATCCAACCATTGTCTAGGTGTGAATTCCCATTCACCTTTTGTTTAGATCACCCATCTAGCTAACCTATTTAACTTACTGTTTAGAGTGTTAGGTCTAATTCTGTATATCGCTGCATTTGCATATGATCATGTGATCAGTCTCACTGTGTATT